GACAGCACTATACACCACGCACTTTGGAGTACTCCCCATCCCCAGATTAAATGCACCATAGAAACAAAATTGCCCCTCCATAACAAGATTCCTGTTTTTGGAATCATTTGGTGAAAATGTTAGTACAATCCAGTAGTAGTGTTGCCATGTGGTACACTGAATAATTGCAATAGCAGGTTTGTCACCAAAGTTTTCGAGCCGATCCGTCTGTCACTTCGTTTGTGGTTACTAACTCTATGAGTTTTTTTTTTCGGTCAATTTAAAAGAAAAATACCTAGGAAAAAAATTGATGATTGTCGCTTTCTGAAGCACTGAGGATGTGTTGTGAAAGAGGAAGTGAAAATCTGATGAAAGCAGAACCTCGAATAAATTTAGAGTAACGCGTTGCAACGGAAGTAAAAACTCATATTCTAGTTCCCTGCCAGATCTATTAACCGCATACACGAATTGTTTTAGGGCCAAACACATTAGATCCGTTTGCGTTGCGTTGACGTAACTTTGACAGTTAGACAGTATATTTAGCTGTCACTTGCCGCAACGCGTCATATCCGGATCTAATGTTGGTGGCCCTTTAGCTTCCCGTAGAACTTTCATGTACCATTTAAGTTGTACAGCTGGAGTAGACGAGAATATCAAATCAATAGCAAGTATTACTATTAAAGTTGGGCAATTGATCGTCAAAAATTGCATTTTGAATGAATGGCCGAAATGTTTGGGAAATACACAAAATTCAACTTAAAATATGACCATCGAACAAAGATACAGCTATTGAAAAAATGGCATGAGCACCACTGCTCTAGGTCCAAAAACAGGAGCACTAGTACCAAAGCTGACTCACTTACCCTAGTTTGATTGATATAAGAGGAAAAATGTCAAAAATAATTCTTTTTTTTTTATTATTATTATTATAGTCACTTTAACACTCTTGGGTCATTCGTGACTTTTCCGGGGGTGAGATTTGAACTCGTGACTTTGACGTGAGAGGTATGGATGTTAACCACTACGCCGGGGTCACCCCTGTCAAAAATAATATAAAACAATCTATTAAACCATAATTGAGTAATAGCAAAGTTAGTTGTTGCTATTTCTAAAGAATAGCAAAAATCATAGCCAATTAATAGCTCATTTTGCTATTATATCTCATCAAGTTATTGGTATGTTGCTTAAATTAATCAATTTAGTTAGATATTAATAGCTTATTCTGCTGTCGTGTCAATATAAGCTCCTGAATTCCTGATGATTTCAAAATAGCATTAGCAAATTATGCTTTGATTGTAAAATAAGCCATTAGCTTGTTATAAAGGGTGTACCGTTTAAAATCCGCACCCACAAAATTCATTTTCAAAATTCGAGTTTTTATCACCAAATTTTCAGGAAGTAAAAAGAAACAATTAAAGATAGTTTTGGCATCATTAATTTAATTTATTTCGCCTTTCCGAATGCGCGAACCTTAGCCTTAACCCCAACCATAAGGTTCTGCACGACCTCAGAATCGATAGTTTTTTGTATTTTGCACATTCTTCACCACTTTAGGTCGTTTTAGAAGGTGCTCCTTAATAATGGTCAAACATTATTTTCCGGATCTTCGCTTTCGATCAAAAGTTAGACGTTCTTCGAAACATTTTATGATACTGGATACCGTGGAATTCACGATTCCCAATTTTTTTTCCGATGGCACAATGCGACAGATTCCTATTCTCAAAGCACTCGTGCAAAACTTTTTTGTGCACGCACTGTTCTTTCGTCACCATTTTGAAATTTTTTGCATTCCTGATGTAATCAACTCACAGAGTGTAAACAATACACATTAAACTATGTCTACACAAAATTTCAATTGATTTTATCCAACGGATCAAAAGTTAGAGCAATTTGAGTGTGTGCGGATTTTAAACGGTACACCCTTTAGCGCACAACTTACCAATAACATAGTTAGATATTGATAGTAATATTGGATATTATTTTGCTCCAGTTTTGCTATTCTCCTCTTCCCGGGAAGTGTTCCATCGTTTCGCTATAAATAAACGCCGGAAGGTCGATGCTGTTCCACATAATACGGATTGGACGATCCAGTGTATAGTGAAAATTCCGATTCTGTTTCAAATAAAGACATGGCGGCCCAGATGATCGAGCTGAACAAAATTAAATACGCGTAAGAAAAAAAAAAAAAGATTTAGAAAAGCGCCGGATGATGAGCGAATCCGGATGGAGAACATATTGAACACGGAGGTTTTGGTTTATCGTGAAATCCTCTTTCGTTTTTTGTGAAGTTCCACACAGCAGTCAACTAAATTGGTGAGATCCTTCCATTTTATTCATTTGTGCCATGTACTATGTGTTTTGTATAAAACTAATAATCGGGCAACAGAATGACTGCAACTCGGGATCTCTCCATGGTGTGTTGCGGTGTGGAATCTACTGAATTCTGGTTCTGGCCTCTACTTATTTATGGTTTTGAGACACGCTTTTCCCTATTTTGTTGGGATCATGAGGGATACAGAGGGCGGTTGAAAATTTGGTTTTTATGTGTTCCTTTTCCTTTTCTCTTTTTCTTTTTATTTCCTTCTATATGGATAGGACAAGAGTTAGTGCTCATGTCTCGAGCATCAGAAGAAAAACATGAGTGATGGCGCTATATCCTTGACTAGTACAGCGGCGCTAATGGTGTAGTGGTAAGCGTTATTACCTTTCACCCCAGCAGGCCTGGGTTCAATCCCAGTCGGCGCCACCGGGATGTGCTGAGGCATAACATCTCTGATCACGCCTTCCTTCGGAAAGGAAGTAAAGCCGTTGGTCTCCGGTTCATGAGTTGATGGGTCGATAGGTAGGGTCCAGGTGTGGGAGCTGCCTCCCTGGCGTCGGTAGTATTGGTGCTCAGCACGGAAAACAAGATCGACGGAAAAAAATAAAGGAAAAAAAATCCGTGGCTAGGAGTCCGGACATAAGGTGAAAATACCTGTGTCCCATCTCAGGAGATCAAGCAACAATGAAGTGTACAGTAATCTTCTTAAATCTATCACTCCCAATCATGTATCTCATTCATTTTTAAACCCATATAAAAAAAAACGATTGGTACGGCATGTTCCCGCACTATGATCAACCGGTGGAAACTAACGATTTTAAATTGGCTCACCACTTGACTAGCTTATTGGTTCCAAGCAAATCGGTTAACGTACTCCATTCTACCATAGAGGTTTTGATTCGCTATGAAAGTTTGACAGATAAATGAGGGGTTCGTTGATTTTCCTATGTTTCGAGGGCTGCATCGATTAGCTTGGGACCAAAGATAGTATCAGAGCTGAGCCAAAAAGTTGAGCACGTTTCTTAGGGAACGTCTGGTATTAGAGTTACATCTATGCAATGATTTCATGTGGATAAAATTTAAACCGTTGTATATATTTCATAAAATAAGGCGTTATACCTTGCAATCCATTTTATATATATTTTTCATTGCAGTTCATACAATTTAATTATAGCTGCACAGACCTGGCCATTTTAGTGTTTGCATCACATTTATGATGTGCTATCAAATGGAGGGACACCTCACCTGAGGTGACAATTTTTACTTCAGGCCTAATTGACAAGAAAAATGATGGATGTATTTCTGTCATTTTCCAGGATTCTTTGAAGTACTGGCTGTGCTTGACTACCAGACTAGACTATACCACAATCAACGTACTACTTAAAGAAGTACAACGTTAGTACAATCAACCGGTGGAAACTAATGATTTTAAATTGGCTCTCTACTTGACTAGCCTATTGGTCCCAAGCAAATCGATTAACGTACTCCATTATAGTATAAATTTCAGTACTACACTATGTTGGTTTTGATTCGCTATGAAAGTTTGACAAATAAAATGAGGGGTTTGTGGGTTTTTCTATCGATTAGCTTGGGACCGAAGAGAGTACCAGAGCTGAGCCAAAAAGTTGAGCACGTTTCTTCGGGACCTTCTGGTCTTAGAGTTACCTCTATGGTACAATCATGTCTGTCGATGGAATAAGGATGAGTACAGAAATATCAATACATCCTAATTTCTTTGATTTTTCCTTCTGATTTTTGGAAGCAAATTGCTCTAAATTTGGTTGAAATTGGAACACGATCAAAAATACGAACCAAAGAAATAAAGTAAAGAATTATATGTATCACCACGCAAGGGAAAATGTGTGCATAATCAATTTATTGATTTCACACTAGCAATTACAAATCAATTTTATTTTTTAATTGGTCAACCGATGTCATAATAGTCATAAAAGTAAAGCGGCATTAAACTGATTTCCTTAAATTTTTAAATAAAATTTAAATTTTCACGATACGATACGAGTGAGTCGAAGTACACCTGTTTTTAAATCGGGAGATTTTTGTGCATGTTTCGCATAAGAGATTTTTCTCTCACGAGAACTGAGCGAGGGATGACTGAAAAACATTGTGCGAGAAACATAAATACTAACGGTAGATGATGAGTGTGATACCACAGACAAACAGACGTAACTCTTCATTGTGTATCTTCGTTCACGCATTTAACGGTTGATTTGAATATTATCAGTTCCGCGAACTACTCGCCGCAGCGCTGGCATCGGATCACTTTGACGTTTCTATACATTCTATAGAACTTTTATGCAATATTGTTTGCGAGTTAGCGAGCAAGCTTGTTTTCCGCGAGAAGCCTGAAAGATGTCGCTACTGAGGTCCTATGTTTTGAGATACTATGTTTTCAAGAAAAACTTTTTCAAAGAGTTACGTCTGTTTGTCTGTGGTGATACTATTGGGCGGTTTAGAAAACTGTAACAAATATTGTATAAGGTATAGGAAAAACCTGACGAAAGGGGTAGTGATAAATTTTTACTGCTCTTTGTGTGACGTACTTAATGTATGCCCCCCTACTTGCTGATGGAAATAGGTGCAAAGCCTGACGAAGACGTTATTTACTATTGAAGAAAAAAAAACAAATTGGCATAATTAATTGCATGTTTTTCCCTCCTGTTTCCACTTCCCAATCTATTGATTTTCTCTCTCTCTCTCTCTCTCTTTCTTTCTCACTCTCTAGACTTGTCAATAATTATAAAATACTCAACGAAAACAAATAAATTACTAAACCTGTAATTATCATTTAACAGTACTAAAAAAAATTAGTAATTTTTACCAAACCAGTCCTTCGTTTTGCATGTTCTGAGGTTCGGAAAAATTTCCAGACGTCATAAATTCAGGGCTTCCAGGCCTTGGACCACCGATCATATTTTCAGGTGGACCACCACCTGCGGCAGCATTTCCCGGTGGACCATTTGGCTGATTGAGAAAGTTCGTCTCCGGTGTTATACCACCAAACTCGTTCACCATGGGGATCGGTCCGGCGTGATCCATTGGTCCTCCTGCATAGGAGAGAAAGCTAAGCGTTAACCGTTGATTGACCAGTATTTCGGCATGCTAAGGGGTGTAAGTGTTCAACTTACCGGGAGTGTTGAAAGGCATTGGTCCAGCACCAGGATGACCAGGGAAGAAGGGCGCATCATGAGGATGAAAAGGAGGCCCACCATAACCAAAATCAAACTTGCCATCGGTGGCAAAATAAGGAAATCCTGGTTCATCCAGTCCTCCTGGTGACAAATTCATCGGAAATCCACGCATTTTTCGAGCACCTCCGAAGAATGGCCCTCGACCCATGCTGGTAAGCTGCTTTAACCTTCGCTCTTTCGATCGTTTGTTCTGAAACCACACCTGTAACAAAAAAAAAATATTCTGCTTTAATACTTGTCATCCATTGAACAGTAACGACTATACATTGATATACATATGTCATAGAGGTCCTGATATAATCGTGAAGCATGCCTACAGCAAAGTGGTCATTAGGCACATCCCTACTGGTATCGTTGATCCGATTTCTGCCAGCTTCGGATTTTATTTCTAATTTTCTCGTATAGGTTATCATTGTTCCACACAATATACAAAGTCAAAAAGTTCTACATTAATAATTGCGCGGAAGTACTCAAACAATCTGAGTTGGGGTTTTTAATAGAAGCATGATAACAGCATAACAGCATGATACAGTGTAGCCCAGTTAAAAAGCAGACATACGTCAACAATATACACGGTAAGAAAAAGTACCCAAAATTGAGTTCCTTTCACTCATCACGTGGCTTCCGTGGGGCTAGGTAAAATTAAGTTAAAGAAGAAAACTCAATTTTGAGTAATCCTGATCATGAATCCACGTTGACCAAGTTGACAAAAAAATAATAAGACGGAGCAGACTGGAACCGAACCATGGACGTTGAGATTACGGGGCCCGTGTGTTAACCACTCGTCTATCAACGCTTGTGAAAATGAAATGGTTAAAGGCGCATAAAAGCAACCTCAATGAAAATAAACTTATATTTGAGTTCATTTATTATTACTCAATAGTTGAGTAAATTTTAACCAACGCCGCTTTTCTGATTCACTCAACGGCGGACCTCAAATGATAGAACCCAACGTTGAGTTTTTTTTAAACTTAATTTTGAGTATTTTTTTCTTACCGTGTACGTCACGTTTAGTTTGGAATTTCGGTGTTAAAATTGGTGAGGGGTATTCGAAAGGAATATTAAGTGATAATATAAATAAACTTGAAATCATTTTCATTTCACACTTAAATCAGGACTTGAATGCGTTTTTAGCGAAAGCGTTAAGCTTTTAAACTCTCGAAATTGAATGCTGTGAAAATAACAACATCAAACTATACACTGTTTCGATTCAATGCACATTAAATTTTATAAAGTCGATAAAACAATTCATTGAAGTTCCCCTCAGTGTTTTTTTTACGTTTGACATGTCACAGAGAGAGGTGAAGCAGATCGTGAAATATTGTTGTATTAGTAAACCAAAAAATCAACGTAAACGCAAGTAGTGACGTCACTAATTGCTTGTACCGTACAGGGGTTTTACTCACACAACTTAACCGATTGCTTCACCTCTGTAATCCAGCTCATTGATGTCAGCCCAGTTAGCGAGTGAAATTCACTAACTGGACTGCGTTTTTAGCCTATAGTTAGCGAACAAGTCTCGCCGAACTTTTCAAAAGGTCCTAAGTAACAAATGTAAACAAATCGAGTTTATAAATGCACATTGCAACATTTGTACCTAAGAACATTATGCACACACACACATTCAGTTTAATGTCAATTGAATTGAGATAATTCTAAAGTAACAAAACGTCTGAAGTCCAAATTTGCATTAACGATGTTTCACTGTTACATAAGACGTTTGACTATGTTCACCAAGACAAACATCTGAAGTATCAGAAAAACCAAAACAATGCAGATCTGTACTTCGGTCCTTTGTGTTTATACGAGTAAAACGTCTAAAATGTTCAAACAAACCAAAACAATGTGATTGTGCACATCGGAATTTTCATGTCAAGCATTTTTCTACTATTTCCGCGGGGGGGGGGGGGGGTGACAATTATCCACGGCCCATACAAATTTTAAAATTTTTATATGGACAATTGTCTACGCATGGGGAGGGGGGGTCAAGAATACCGAAAAGTTGTCTACGTAGTTAATGAACGGGTAGATTATAATTTCAATTTCAATTTTACTATCGCATTTTACTATTAAAGGTCTTAAAAATGTCAAAAATTGATTTGGTTTAAAATAGTATCAAAAAAGATTTTGTCAATCTTCAACCTCGTTTTTCTCGAAAAGAGTGAAATGTTAGATAGAACCTTTTGAAAAGTTAGGCGAGAAGTACTGTGGAAGGAATAAGAAGATGTGTGTTCACATTTCGTCTTCTGAAAACAGTTAAACTAGAACATATGCAATCCCAGATCGTCGCTCCGGTAACGATCTTCTAAATTGTCATACAAATCAAACTTTTTTATTGTTATTATAATAATTTTATCGACAACCAGACTGTGATTCGGGCCGCCGTAAATCGCCGTTGGCAGAGGTTCTTTGAATGAACATCTCTCTACTCTTGGTTTTATTCATGTCGTTCTCGCAAACCCGCCGGCCGAGTGGCCTACTCGTTTCACCGTGTAAATAATTTTGTCTCCTTCACACTTACTTTTCTCATGGCTTTGCCACGCCGGACGGCCGAGGCCTGTGGCTTTCGGTGTTCATTTTTTATGATGCAGCCGAAAGCAAGAGAAATGAATAACAATCGGGAAAAGTAGTTACGAACAGTTTCCAACCAGCCCTCTTGCTTCTTACCCGCCACTAGGTTAGAAAGAAAAAAATCCGGCGGTTGGTTGGAACTGATTTTTTACGACCCATCATGGATCGGTCCCGAAAAGTATTCATATACCGTGTCCCGCTCGATCAGGCGCGTTATTAGCGTTCGTGAAGAGTTAATAAAATTTTATGAAATGATCTATTCAAACGAATTTTGATGTTTTTATGAGTATCTGATATTCCTTCAAGATTCGTCCCGTTTGAAAAGTAGCTCATGGTCGGGAACTGGGCAGTAGGGAACAATATGACCCGTTGAACGCAACGTCGACAAAGCAAGCCATTTCGATTATTGAATTCGTTTTAAGGTCATACAGGGTGAGCCTACACTGCCCACGATATGATCATCAGGTTGAAGGTGCGAGTGTAAATAAAGTCAACGAAAGCTGACAACCTGTCCAAAATCAAATAGAATAGGTATCTCCTGTATCGGCGGTCGTGTCGGTGTGTTTAGTCTTCCTGCCTTTTATGTTAATTATAGTCATTGGAACAGCTAGCGCCCTGCAGTGAAATTAGGCTTTAAGCTGTGTGTTTTATGAGCCGCGATGCGATGCAGTCTTCATAGCTTGAAAGGTCGGCCGCCTTTGGGCACGACAACGATTATACTGATTATTTTGGTGATGATGACGGTAATGACGTGATGGTTCTGCGCTCTGATTCTGGTTCTAGGTCTGATGATCTGTTCTACTGCGCTTAGCTTGACGATATATGCTAATGAAACATTTGTCTTAAGATTTGCAATTTAGTGATCCATTTAGCAGTGGGACATATCTTTTCGGCATTCACCGGCTGTCGAATCAGCGACAAAGAACTGCAACAGCTTGTGCGTTTGTACGTCCAAAGAGAACGAGACGTGCAGTTGCGACGTGTCCATGCCTATAAATACTTACGCACAAGCAGAATCAGCTCACATTACAAAACCATCACAATTTGATAATTTACAAGTACAGTCAGGTTTCCTTTAGTGCGGTTAATAGGGACCGCACAATAGGTACCGGTATTAACGAATACACGTAGCATTTGGGATGAGAGCAAATTGGGGACAAACACTTATTTTAGGGTAATTTTAAGAGATAACTTCCTGGTGTTTTCTGAAAAGTTATTAACAAGAGAGATGACCTCCTTTTGGGACAATTTTGCATCCGAAAAGTCAGAAGTCTGGTCCTCTGGAAGACCTGGAACATCCGTAAAATAAATGAATTCATTAAACTGATCCTAGAGCTACGTGATTTTTTATATAGCACTCATAGACATCATATCAGAATTAATTCAGAGTTGTGACCGGAAAAATGAACTCTGGAGACTACGAGATGGTTCATCGGAAGATCAGGAACATCCGTAAAAGCGGTCAATTCATGAAACTGATCCTAGGGCTCCGTGTTTTTTTTCGAAACCGCTCATAGACATCTTATTACAATCACTTCGGAGTTTTGACTGGAATTTGGACTCTGGGCACACTACAGGATCGTCCACTGGAAGATCCGAAACATCCTTAAAAGTGGTCAATTCATGAAACTGATCCTATAGCTCAGTGTTTTTCGAAATCGCTCATAGACGTTTTATTACAATTAATTCGGAGTTTTGACTGAAAACGGAACTCTGGGCACTACAGGATGGTCCACCGGAAAATCCGGAACATCCATAGAAGTAGTCAATTCATGAAACTAATCCTGATCTACAGTTTTTTCAAAACCATTCATAGGCATCCTATCACAATTATTTCGGACCACGGGATTATTCACCGGTTGATCCGGAACATCCGTAAAAGTGATCAATTCATGAAATTGATCCTAGAGCCCCTCATTTTTCGAAACCACTCATAAACGTCTTACCAAAATGAATCCGAGGTTGTGATCGGAATATGAACGCTGTGGACAACGGGATGGTCCTCTAGACGATTCAGACCGTCTGTAAAAGTGGTCACTTCATTAAACTGATCCTCGTGCTCCACGTTTTTTTTTTTTTTGTAACCACTCATAAATACCTTATCAGAATGGATTCGGGGTTGTGAATGGAACATGGACACTGGGGACTACGAGATGGTCCATTAGAAGATCCGGAACATTCGGAAAAGTGGTCAATACCTGAAACTGATCCTAAAGCTCCGCGTATTTTGCGAAACCACTAATAGACTTCTTATCAGAATGAGTTCAAAGTTGTGTTCGGAATATAGACCCTGGAGACCACGCGATGATTCACCGTAAAATCCGGAACAACCGTAAAAGTAGAAAATTCATGAAATTGATCCTAGAGCTATTTTTTTTCAAAACCACGCATAGACGTCTTATCAGAATTAATTCAAACTTGTGACCAGAATATAGACCCTGGTGGCCACAAGATGGTCCACTGGAAGATCCAAAACAAAAGTAAAAGTGGTAAATTCATGAAACCACTCATTGATATCTTATCAATATAAATTCTGAGATGTGACCGAAAAGCACCACCGACGCCAGGGAGGCAACTCCCACACCTGGACCCTACCTATCGACCCATCAAACTCATGAACCGGGGACCAAC